GGGGGGGGGGGAATCGACTACATGCTAAGCACAGTCTATGTGTCTGTTAAATTCAATCTAGGAGGAAAGTAAAAATGTCTCACCCTACTTTCAAGGTCATATATTATTATCAAAGGGATGAAGGAAAATGATTAAAAGCAAAACTAATAAACAAGACAAAAAGCAAATAGTTTGTACTGTATATCTTTTAGAAAATGGCATATGGGTCCTCATTACGTCTTTCTACATTCTTGTAATGATGTTCACATGCTAATTTAACATTTGTATTTGTATTCCAGGTCTCCCTCCTTCCCTTACTGAATTACATCTGGATGGCAACAAAATCACCAGAGTCGATGCAGCTAGCCTGAAAGGACTGAATAATTTGGCTAAGTAATAATATTCTTTCATGACATTCTGTCAGTAAAATGGCTATGTGTATTAGTGCCTACATGCTTAGAATTAGAAACATGATTGATTTTTTTACTGCACCACATTTTTTAAATTTTCACCCAAAGATATGTTTTTATTGATTATGGTTAGAGAGACAGAAAGGGGGAGAGAGAGAGAGAGAGAGAAATGTGAATTGGTTGCCTCCCATGTGCACCTGCACCAGGGATGGAACCCACAACTTAGGTATGTACCCTGACCAGGAATTGAACCCACAACGTTTTGGTGTACAGGACCACACTCCAGCCAACTGATCCACCTTGCCAGGGCTGGACCACTTGTTTTGTTGTTGTTTATAACAACCTCAGACTTCAGCTAGCCCAATTATTTCTTTAAAAAAACACACTAATGAAATAGTATACTTACTGTAACCACCAAGATCAACCTCTTATTTTATGAATACCCTATTGTTGTTAGATTAAGATATAACTTATTAGAAGGCATTTAATTAAATCAGTATGTTCATTCAATATGTTCTAACTTAGTTGCTTTGAAGTTTGAGTAAATTATAACGCAGTGTCCAGAATTTAAAAATGCATTAAAATGAAAACTACCAGGACATAGAAATATTGGGCATCCTACACCACATTATAGAGTTAGAATAGTTATGATGATATTCTCAAATTCTTATTCTGAAAAGTTTAAATTATCTCTGGACATTTAATGTAGTATAAATTTTTTTTTAAAAAATGTGTAGCTCTTCTTCAGTGTCTTGCTTTCTAAGCTAACTTCAATCTTGCTATATTTACGATCTGGTTAAGTAATAAAAAGAGGAGAGTTCTGGCAAACTCTTTCAGTTGTCTTCAAGGAACACTCTGTTCTTGAGCCACACTATTGCTGAATGTTTTTACAGAGAAGCATGGTGTTATTCCAAATTGGCTCACTCTTCCTTTTGTAGATAAATTACATGGTAGATAAATAAAAATGAAATATTCAGTTCGTCTTGGAGAAATACCTACTACCAGATGGGTAGATAATGCAGCTTTTCCCATTCTGTGGATATTTCTCAATGACCCAGTGGATGGTAAAGGCTGAAGATGAGCCCATGCAGATGACAATCCCTACAAAATATTACCCTGGTGTGTCTCAAATGCTAAGAAATCCTCTATCTAAAGCTATTATAATTTCAGCTTCTTTTCTTTCTTTTTTTAAAATATATCTTTACTGATTTCAGATCAATAAAGGAGAGGGGGAGAGAGAGGGATAGAAACATCAATGATGAGAGTCGTCATTGATCGGCTGCCTCCTACAAGCCCCTGACTGGGGATCAAGCCCACAACCCGGGCATGTGCCCTGACTGGGAATTGAACTGTGATCTCCTGGATCCTAGGTCGATGTTCAACTGTAATTTCAGCTTCTAATGTAGAAAATATTTTTCAAAATAGTAGTATGTATCACCCACTTTCTTTGTTAATTCGATCCCTCTAGCTGCAGAAAAATGCTTATTGTGCAGAACTGTCTTTAGGACAGCTATTATTATTATTGGATCTTTATTTGGAGGAGTAATAGAGATAAGAATTAACAATGGTCTAATGTTCTAAATATGGTAAACCATTCAAGGCATAATATTTGTGCCTTTTTAGTACACAATTTATTTCATACTGAAAATGGTATGGACATTTTGAGGTTCTGCACTTTAACATTAACATCATATGCTTTGTATCAAATAGAAAGAAGCATAAAGAGCTAATAAGCTTTGAAAAGGCCAATAGAAGAGAGAATTTCTGTTTTAATGGATTTGAATTCCATTCATTAAATTAGAGCAGATGTCCTCATTGGCCAAGGAAACTTTTCTAACTCTTAAATTTATCAAACACATTTCTTTTTGGAATCAAGTCCAGAAAAAATGTGTCTATTAAACTATAAAATCCTTGTTTCTTGAACCATGTGCCCTCTGCCCTCACAAGCCTAGGATAATGTCTTGAACATATTAAGTTATTGAATATATCAGTAAATTATTTAAAAATCGAAATTTCCTTGGATAAATTATGAGGAATATTATATCTTAAGAAATATGTTATTCCCAAATGGGTATGGGACATAGAGTGTTGTAAGAAATAGGAGGCATGATTCTGAAATAAAAAAAGGAGAGGCCAGAAACAAGAGATGAGTGCTGAAGACTAAGGGAGAACCAAAAGACTCTGAGTCAAGATGCCAGGTTAAGAATCTATAGCTAAAATAAACCAACTCTGCTCTTCATTGAGTTATTTCAAATACCAAATCATGATTAAAATTGGGAGACTTTGGTTACCTAAGCCAGCATCTAAATCTTAAAAGGTCTCAAAAGTCAGAGCTAGCTGAAGGCAAACAGAAACCATCCTATAAAACGTGCCCAAGTCTCCTTCACTGGGTTAGAAGAAATCCAATAGATTCTTCCTCTTTTTCTCCCTTGAAGGTTTCTGACTCTCTTCCAATATCTTCTTGTCTCATCCCTAGAGATCTAGGTCAGAGACCAGGGTCAGAAATCAGGGATGTTGGCACCAGGTATATTCCAACAGTAACAGATGGTCATTGATGAATTTTTTCAAATTAGTACAAGATGCTAACTATGGTAACCTTTCTGGAAGGTAGGTTTATTGACCCATAGAACCTTGTACCTTCTATTTCCAACAAATAAATGTGTGTGGTGAATATACAATTGCTTAATTTTCAAAGTAACCAAAATGATAACCATATTCCTTTTATTTTTCTCCCAAATGAATTCACTACATTCGTTATATGTAAAAATCAACTCAACAGCTATTCATTGACCATTTCAAGCTCTGTGTTAGTACTGAATGTGCCACAAGACAATCACTTCTCAAGGAAAGACACACAAGTACAGAGTCCCTTGAGTTTTACAAGAAGGTGACAGCAAGAAACTTGCTTTATGAGCATTTACTAGAGGTACCGATTCAGTCTGCTACTGTCAGAGGAATTTTAAAGAAGGTAACTCTAGGATGAAATCTTAAGAACTGGTGGGCTTTGTCCAAGTTCACCAGGTTTGGGAAAAAAGCACTCTAGGCAGAGGTAAGAGTGAGTGCAAAAATGTCCTTTTCTCATGACTTAGTTAATCACATGCTTGTGAGAAGACATCCATGTGTGGGGTAAGCCCTTGTCTTCTCTTTTCTGTTGCAGGTTGGGGCTAAGCTTCAACAACATCTCTACGGTTGACAATGGCTCTCTGGCCAATACTCCCCATCTGAGAGAACTTCACTTGAATAACAACAACCTTCTCAAAGTGCCTGGTGGGCTGGCCGAACATAAGTACATCCAGGTAATGCAGTGTCACTAACTATTGTGAATGACATCTAGGGAGCAAACCCTCTTTACTGGGAAGCTAGGAGGTAGGAAGCTCTGCTGAGAAATTTTGCAGAGAGATATTTTTAATGCTTCCACATAAATAGTCATTCTAGTTTTATAAAATGTAAGTTTAAATGATCCATTTTTAAAAAAATTAGTGCTATTGCCTTGAACTTACTATAATGCTTGCTTCCAGAATATAATATTTCTATGAGGCAGGGTAATCTCAAGTCACAGATCAGTGTAATAAATACATACTGGTTGGAAAAGATGACATAATCTGTGATGCATAGATATGAAATAAATTGCAGTTTTGACTTTTAGCTTCAGCAAATGTCATACAGGTCAAAAGAGAATGTTTATCTAGCCGTGCGACTAAACTAACTTTATATAAATCATCAAGTTATAAATCATCAAGTTATAATCCTTCTAATCAGAAGGATTAGAAGATATGATTCAGTGATCCACTGTGGAAATAGAGCTTTGCAGTCTATAAATCTATAAATGAAGACATACTTGTTAGTTTAAATAGTGATAATAATTTCATATATAAGAATATAAGACTTCCATTGTTACTTTGAGGAACTAAAACAAACTTGTTATTTAAATTATATAGTTTTTAAAAATCAGTAATGTGGTCATCTATAGATTTTACATATTTGCTTATTTTATCTAAATCTCCAGCTTTTTAAAGTTCATATTGAAATTGGTTCAGAGAATTAATAGGCACTTAGTGCAGCCACCATGATTCAGAAACTATTCCTTGACACCAGCACTATGTTATAGGTAAAACCATTTTATAAAGTTGCCCTTTTGGTAATCTAGTATCTCAACCTTATTGCTTGGGGTTCAAGGTAGTTTTATATTTTACTCTGCTCTCAACAGTATCAATAAGTTACTGGTATTTTTATTAAGTTGTGACAAAAACTCCAAATTAAATTGATATATCACAGTTTTCATTATTTTATGCTAATTCTTTTTCATTGTATCTTGGGTGATGGTAGAGAAGTGAGTAAACAAGTTTTAAGCCACAAGTAAAACCAGGTCTCTTAGGAGACCAGATAAGAATAGCTATCATTGTTGCTGTTAAGATTTTACTTGGTGGTGGATTTTGTTCTGTTTTTGTTTGTTTGCCTGTTTTTGTTTTTAGGTCTCAGTATAATCATTTTCACCTTCTTGATTGCTATTTTTCAAATGTTAGTCTGAACACATTATTGAGTTCATAAAATCAGTTTCATGGATTCTTTAGAAACATTTATGACATATGATAGGATGGGATGGGATGGGATGGGATGGAATAGAATAGAATAAATTTAATATAAAAGAAAAAATCACTGTAATGCTAAGTATTTTTAAAATTTGTTTCATATGCACAGATTTATATATACTAAAGCTCAATATATAATGTGTTTCATATTGTGGATCACAGAGAAAAAATATAAAACATTCTAGTTTGAAGTCTTTGTTGAATATCAGCAAAGTGTTTATTGAATATCATTAACTGTAAGTGTCCCGCATACAGAAGGGCCTCACTCATGGTTTTCCATATCTAGTTGGCTCTCCATGAACTCGTTTTACCTCTCTTTCTACAAGCCCAAGGGATTTCACCTAACCTGCTTCGTTTTCTATAAATATATAGTTCAATTATTTTAAGCAAAATTATATAGTTGTTCAACATCACCACAATCTAGTTTCAGAACTTTTCTGTTACCCTCAAAATATTCTCTTATTAATTTCTTATCAGTTCTCAATCTCATCTTCAGACACAGGAAATCATTAATCTTCTTTCTCCTTCTATAGATTTGCCTTTTATGGACATTTTATATAAATGTAATCATAACAATGTATGGCTTTTGTGTCTGGCTTTTTTAAAATGTATCATAATGATTTTAGGACATCCACATCATAGCATTTTTTAGAAGTTCATTCATGTTTATTGGTAAAGAGCATTCCATTATATGGATATGCCACATTTTGTTTGCTAGTAGTACACTGTAATGGCAAAGCTCACTGGTTGCCTCCTGCAGTGGCCAGGTGCTCTAACCCCTGAACTATAGAGCCAAAGGAAGATGAGACATTTCCTTTATTTGGCTGTGGCAGGCCAAACGTACAAGATGGACAAACCCACACTCTCTTCTGGTGGTGGCCAGCCGGGCATACACGGGGGACAAACCCACCCAGGGAGAACAGACCACAAACCCGCACCTCTAAAAGTCCTAGGCCAGTCTTATAGGACCCAAGACAATAGTGGCTCTCAGCCAACGGGTCAGACATTAACCAACTAACAGGGCATCTGTTTTGACCATGCTATATCATGTTTACGTAACTGCGGCCTTCTGCTGTGAGAAGGTGGCAAGAAAGTCTAAGTGTGTTCACTTTCCCTATAACACTTTCTGATCACTGTAGCTTTTGACTATTTTGAAATTGGAGTAAAGGTCCTCTAACTTTGTTCTTAATTTTCAAAACTTTTTTTGGCTATTCTTCTTTCTTTGCATTTCCATGTAATTTCAGAATCAACTTGTTCATTTCTGCTAAAATAGCCTGTTAGGACTTTGATAGGAATTGTGTTGAATCTTTAGATCAATTAAGGGAGACTTTTTATCATGATAATATTGACTCCTCCAATTAACAATAATGTAATACCTCTCTATTTTATCTTCTTCAATTTTTCACAAAAATGTTTTGTCATTTTTAGGATATAAGTGTTATAATTATTTTATTAAATTCATTCTTAATTTTTAAAATTTTGTTGTGAATGAATTGTTACATTAATTTTATTTTGAATTGCTTGTTGCCAGTATAATTCAAATTCAACAAAAATAAACAAAAATTCAATTGGTTTTTGTTTATTGATCTTCTATCCTAGTACTGTTTAAAATTGTTTTTAGTTGCAGCTAGTTTTTATGTATTCCTTTGGACATTCTATATTCAGGATCATGTAATTTGTAAATAAAGGCAGTTTTAATTATTCTTTTTTATCTAAATTCCTTTAATTTCTTTTTCTTCCTTCATTGCAATGGATAGAATCACTAGTGCAATATTGAATTGAAGTGTTGAAATTAGACATCTTTGCCTTGTTTCCTAGTTTAAGAGGGGATTGAACAATCAATTAAATCAATTTTACATTTCTGAGACAAATAGTGCTTCACCTTGGCCATGATGTATGATTCTTTTAAATCTTGTGAGATACAGTTTTCTAACAGGTTGTTAAAATTTTTTGTCTATATTTATATGAGATATTTGATTATAGTTTTCTTGTGATGATTTTTGTCTGGCTTTAGTATTAGAAAATATTGACTTCACAGAATGAGTTGGGAATCTAATTTTCTTTTTACACAGGCTAATACTTGTTTTATGTCTTGATGTTTTCTCTAAGTTTCAATATTAGCCATAAACTCTCACCAACACCTCTCTTCTTTCTTGCTAATCACTGCTAGGAAATAGAGAGTGGTAAATAACAATACAAATTTTTCACAATTTGAGAATCATAAAATAAAAATAATCACAAGTATTGTTTTGATTTTAATATTCCTTGTTCCTCTTTCTGTATGAGATCTATCATTTTCCTTATAAACCTTCACTTAAACAAGGCCCTTTTCACCAATAAGTGAGTGTGAGTGTTCTGATAGGTGGAACAGTATTTCAAGTCAATTATTTTAAGGGAGCACTTCATAAGTTTTATAGCTTGCTTCAGAAATTGTTGCCTTAACATTATATTTTTGCCTTGGTCGTATGGTTGTATGGTCATTTATTGCTCTTCAGAATTCACATCTACAATAATGGAAGTAAAAAACTCATTTCTAAAGTCCTTTTAGTAAGTCTTATATTTGGTTTCCCCAAGGAAATGTATGAACAAATCACCATTATCTTAAACATAATCATAAATACATTTCAGAAAAAATGTTTTGATGAACTATAACATTATATTCATAGAATATAATTTGTAAATATAATACATTTTTGTTAAAACTTTCTAGGTATATTTATTCCAAATGCTGTAACACTCAAGTGTTTCTTAGAGCTTGTGATTCCTTATTTTGATTTCAATACTATATAACCTCTTTTTCTTTACTACATATTACCTCCTCATTTTATAAAATTTCATTGAAAGGTCTACCATTTGTCTATGCCCTGAAAATATACTATTCCATGTAGACACAATTTATGAAATAACCATGAATCCATTCATTTATTCATTCAACATATATTTACGTATTGAACTCCTGTTCTAGTAGATAGTATAGATACAATCTTGAACAAAACAGGAAAGGTTTTCCTCCCAATGGAACTTTTATTCTACAGGAGGACAACAGACAAAAACCAAATAAAAATAGAATATGCTATATAGTGATAACTGCTATAAAGAAAAATAAAGAATTGTAATTGGGACAGAGTATGGCAGAATGGGATGTTTGAGGAGGATGTTTCTGCTAAGGAGAAATGAATTACATGAGGAAGCAAGCCTGGACGACATCTTAGAGAAGGTTATCCCAGGTGGAGGAAACTGTGTGCCCACATGAGGAGGAACCAGGCTTCGTATATTAGCAGAGAAGCAAGAAGGCCAGGGAGGTTGGAATGAGCCTTGAGGGAGATGAGGTCAGAGCAGAAGGATGTTGGAACATGTAGGATCTGGAGGCCAATGTGAGAACTTTGGACTGTATTCTGCATGACATGGGAAGCAAGTGGAATATTGAGACAAAGAAGATATAACTTGGCTTAGTTTTATAAATAATTGCTTCGTGAACTGAAAACAAGAAAAGAAAAAGAAAGAATAGACTTTACAAAGGCAGAAGAGAAAGCAGGAAGAACAACCAGGGCAGCTTCAATAATACAGAAGACGGTGGCAGCTTTAGGGAAGGATTTGGGAGTAGACAGGGAGAACTGGGTTATATGTATATTTTAAAGTTTGAGCTGGCAAGATTTGTTGATGGTTGGGCAGAGAGTAGAAGAGAAAGGGAGGGGCAATGATAATGACACTATTTTTAGCTGGAGCATCTGAAGACCTTGAAGTGCCATATTCCGAAATGAGGAGACTAAGGAAGGTTACAGCAAGTTTTAAAGCAAAGAGAGAAATCAAAATTTGGTTTGAGAAGTATTACAGTATTTAAACTAAAGGATGAAAATACTGAAAAAGAATAAGATATTTATACAAGAAGCCTCAATATATTCAGAGGAAAATAACTATTTTCCATTGTTTTATGTTGCAGGTTGTCTACCTTCATAACAATAATATCTCTGCAGTTGGGACTAATGACTTCTGCCCACCTGGATTCAACACCAAAAAGGCTTCTTATTCAGGAGTGAGCCTTTTCAGCAACCCAGTTCAGTACTGGGAAATTCAGCCAGCCACCTTCCGATGTATGTATGTGCGCTCTGCCATTCAGCTCGGAAACTACAAGTAACTCCCAAGAAAGCCCTCATTTTTATAACCTGGCCAAATCCCATTAATGCCATTGCTCAAAGAAGGAAAAAAAGAAAATGAAAGCTAGATACTGAAATCCTTAACTGGAATGTGGATATTTTCCCCACATGACTTATTATGCATAAAGCCAAATATGCAGTTTAAATAATTGCCTACAATAAAAAAAAAAATGTTTTGCCTGCCATTTCGGAATCCTTTTTTGAAGCTTTCTGTTGATGTTAACTGATCTATTGCAGGTATTCTTATTTCACTAAATGTAAAATTTGGAGAAAATATGTATGTCCAAAATTTAGTAAAGCTTTTCTTTTTTTAAATTTAAGGAATTAAATTTAAAAAGTATCAATCTTCTGTAGCTCATAGGATGGTTAGTACTTTGACATAAAGTCAAAACTCAAACTCTAGCTTTGTATTAATCCCCATTGTTACTGGAAAAGCCTCATTTGAATATGTAAATTCAGTATAGGCTATGTAAAATTTTTACTGTCATTATTTTGAAAAAAAATAAATTCACAAGTTCACATTCAAAATATTACTATTGTATAAAAGTGTAATTGTAAACCATCCCTAAGCTAACTTCCTGAAGAGTAGACATTACTTTCTTGATACAAACAGCACATTGTTTCAAGTCCTTAGATATTTCTTCTGCTCCTGTCCTTTAGCATTTGTGTATTATAACTTACATCATCTATATTCAATGTTAAGCGATAAAACACAAAATTGACTTTTGTTGATTGGTCTAGAAAACTGATATTTTATAATTCCTACGATCTAAGTCAGTTTTAAAGCTATCAGGTATATAATTAGGCTGCTCACCTGAACATTTCTATAATTACTAGATGTATTAGAAATATTTATGGCATTTAGTTAAGCTTTCCTTCAACTTTAGAATGTTTTCTCCAGGATTTAGAAACAATTATCAAAGCAGACCATTCAACAAGCCTGGGAATGGGATGATTTACCAAGAGTAAATATTTATCAAAAAGTGTATTTATGCCATCAACATCTAATAAGTAAACATGGAAAGACAGTTTGTTTCTTCTACAAAGTTGGATGTTTTATGGTTGTAAATACTAAAAACCAAATCCAAACTGGTTTAAACTATAAAGGAAAATACAAAATAGGTAAACTATTAGGTAAATTATTAGGTAAAACTTTAGCTGCAGTTTGATCCGAGTTCTACCTGAGTCTCTCTGCAGTTCCTTCAGCTCTCTCTTCCTTCATTACTCTTCTGGCTGGCTTCTCTTATGGTTGCAAACTAGAGATCTCCCCCATTATTTATCCCATTCAGAACACAAAAGAATATTAGCACAATATTTCCAGGAAAAGTCACGAGATTTTCTGTGATTATTGCATACCAAGTTCACCACCCTGTAGAGTCAATGGGTAAATATTGTTCCTCTCATTTTGTAGAAAAGTAAACTGAAGTTAGTAAAACATACCTGGCAACAGAGGTTTTTCTTTTCTTTTCTTTCTTTTTTTTTTTTTTTTGTACAACACAAAGTCTGGTAGAAAACAGAATTTACCCCAGAGAATTCACATGAAAATAATTTAATGAAGGGGCTATATTATAGGGTGCACACAGAGTTTACTGCATCAAACAAGGGATGGTGAGACACTCAGGGACTGGCAATAGTGGAAAGCCATTCCCACCATATAGCTGAATGAACAGGGGAAGAAACTGAGTTTCTGGAGTCAAATGAAAGGACAACTATGGAGGGCTTTTGTGCCCAGGGATCCATGTTCCTGGGGGAACACAACTTCTGCCAGAGGTGAGGTGCTGAAGCAGGGCATCTACCTTTCTCTTCTATTACAGATCCTCCCACTGTTCAAACCTAAAGGAAAGACAACCATCAACAAAGTCAGGTAGATGAAGTCTTCTCCTGGAGCAGGACAAAGAGAGGAAAATGGATCTGGTCAAGGCACTGGGAAAGTAACTAACCACAATTGTAGGACTATTGAACAAATTCCACCAACCTCAGATAAACATTACATCCTATGTAATCCCAGGCACATTTTCTGAACCATGGTTATTTTAGACTTTTTTTACATTTATCAGAGGTGCTAATAAATAAAAAAGTATATATTTGATGAAACTTCTTTAAATAATTAACTAAATCTGGTTTTCTGTTATTAGCACCAGGTTATTTTTATAATGGCTTTGACTAAAGCACAGTATATAAATTTAAATAAATATGGTTTTTGTTAAAAATCAAAGTGTGAACAGAAAACTTACACTGTCAATATTAAAGGGCAGTCAGTTATGTATTATACATAAATTTTGCAAAAAACAAAAATAATATTTGGATAATTATGAGAATCATGAGAATTGAAACAAGGCTCTAAGCTGTTGCCTTTAAAGTTATATTTTTCTTTTTACCAACTGCTGCCTGAAATGTACAAAGCTTTGTATAAGCTATTTAATTTGGCTGGACTTTCATGAAGTGATCATGTTGCTGATATTTATTCATAGTCTTGTATCAGGCAGTAACTGGGAGAGGCTATTTATTGATTTAGCATACTCCATTCGTCCATCCAACCATCCAATCATTCATTCATTCATTCATTCATTCAATAAACTAGATATGAGATAACTCCTCTTAACAAAATGAACACAACAAGAACAGATATTTGTTTCTGGAGTTTATCCAGTGCATACAAATTGCCAGCTTCTGCGCTAAGCTCTTTTTGGACCATGTATTTATTACAAAAATCCTGTAAGAATATACTATTCCCATTTCATAGATTATGAAATTCAGATATATGGGAAATAAAGAGTCAGCATGTAACCTTGATGTGTGCTGACCCAATTAGGCTTGGCCTTTGCTTTTGCAACAGTTTATACAATTCATAGCATTGTTAAAACCACAGGTGGCAGGCTTAAACACTAGGAAGAGAATCTATTTATGGTTCTTAGCAGTTCTTCAGCATTGTGTTAATAGGTTAAGATCTTGAGGTTCATGTACCATAAAGATAATAACTGTCTTATTGAATACTGTGTCTAAACTGTGTATACAGTATCTCATTTAATATTTACAATAGCCTTATGGGCTATGTATGGTTATTTAATATCCCCTTTACACATGAGCAAATGAAGCCCTAGAGAGTTCAAGTAATTTTTCCATGAATACACAACTTATAAGTAAGAAAGACAAACCTTCTATCACCTCAATGTTTTGCCTTCTACTTTAGAAAAAAATGTATTTATGTCTAACAATGAAGCATCACTGTACATTCACAGTGATGTCTTCTTTGAAATGTTGGGCAGGACTATAAAATAAAGGGTAACTCCACCAGTTGGAATTGGTGTTGTTCCATTTCAAAAATGATGAATTCATTCATAAAAAATAGAAAATATTCTACAACAACACTTTAAATTTGAAATTGTTCTATATCAACACTGTTCAGTATGGTATCCACTTAGTCATGGATGTCTATGGAGCAATAGAAATGCGATAGAACTAAAGAACTGAACTTTCAATTTTATTTGATTTCAATGAATTTAAAGTTAATAGCCTTAAATAACTACTTGATATCACATTGGATATAATATTCTAAACACTCCCAATGAGTTTAAACATGATGTCCATGATAGAGGGTGGGTTTCTATTCATTCCAAAATATTTACTCAGCCTGTCCTGCATCCTGGAGATAGAACAATGAATAAGAAGCCCTCCTTGACTTTAAGGGTATCATAGTTTAATAAAGAACACAAGCAGGTAACTAAACAATGGAAATGTGGAAGGATAAATTTTATCATAGTAATATATGCAAGTTATAGCAGAGGCTCAGCGGAGAGGTGATCATTTCTGCCGAAGTAGCAGAATAAGCAGAGAGCACTGTGGAAGCCTTCGCTGCGGGGCGATGGCTGAGGGCGGCTTTAAGGAGCAGAAGAGTTCAGCGGGGCCCAGCCGGGCGGGGCTCAGCGGTTGAGCGTCGACCTGGGATCCAAGCGATCCGGGTTCGATTCCGGGTCAGGGCACATGCCCAGGCTGCGGGCTCGATCAATGACTCTCTCATCATTGATGTTTCTCTCTCTCTCTCCCTCTCCTTTCCTCTCTCTGAAATCAATAAAGATATATTAAAAAAAAAAAAAAAAGAACAGTTCAGCAGGGAGACTTGGGGAAAGGAGCTGCTTCAGGCAGATGGTAAGCTCAAGGGTTCAGGGGGCCTGGGCAAGTCTTCTCTGATAGGCTGGCATTTTAAAGGGCTGTTTACTCTCAGGCGCTCCACAGAGGCAGTGGTTTACAGTTAGAGATGATTTTCACAGAGCTGAGGACTGCAGTCGGGGAAGCCGCCCGTTTTCCTCTTTCCACAGTACTGCCGAGTCACAAAATATCAGTTTCCTAGAATGTTCAACAGGAGGGAGACAATGTCTTCTTTCTCTTCTCTCGAACAACCCAAAGGTCCCACCCTCATAGTGAGAAAGAAGTTTCTATTAGAAGGCATTCAGGGGCTCAAGGGCCACGTCATCACTAGATGTTATTTCCCCAGGCAGGACCTTGAGTCTGCACTCTCTTCCCTAGTCCTGCCTCCTCCACACTGTACCTTTCCTCTTGCAGGGGAAAAGCTTGCAGTTACCATGCTGCTTACATTAACTTACATCTGGGTGAGGGATGGGTGGAGAAAGAAGAGTGGGGAAGACCACTTAGGACTTTTATCTCCGAGGCAGAGCCTGCAACACACCTTTTCCAGCAGCAAAGCTATTTCTAATTTTTGTTTCAAGATCAACAGGAGAGAAGGCCTTGACATTTCAGCACCCCTCTCTCAAGTATCCACATAACTTTTTTTTATATTCTTCCTTTGAAATAAAGATATATGAGGCTCATTTTCTTGACTTCAACCTCTGCTCTTTGCATGACTTTGGAAAGTTTCTTAGCCTTTCTGTGCCCTATTTCCCTCTCTGTAAAATGGGAATAGTAATAATGCACCCCTTGTAGGTTGGTGTGTGAATTAAGTGGTTAACATACGGTAGGATGCTTCTACCAGAGCCCAGCACGTGAGAGAGACTCAAATATGTGGGTGCTATTGCTGTTATTCCCCAGGCTGCATAGTTAGAGCTGCAATAATCTCCAGGGATATTAGGTCCTTAGGACTATGGTGGGGTCTGAGATTGTGTATTTCCAACCAGCTTCCAGGAATGTTGCTGCTCCTTGATTCAGACTTTGAGAAACAAAGCAATCGAGTCCTCTCATTACCTATTATACCATGTTTGTCTGTTGTCTCCCACTGGCTGGCCCCTGTGAGAAACCACCCTGTTTTAGTTTCCTAGGGCTACTGTAACAAAGTACCACAAACTGGGTAGCTTAAAATGACAGACGTTTATTCTCTCACATTTCTAGGGGCATAAAGTTCAAAATCAAGGTGCTGGTAGAGCTATGCTCCCTCTGAAGTCTCTAGGGGATGGTACTTCCTTGCTTCTTCTGGTTTCTGGTAGCTCCAGGTGTCCTTGGCTTGTCGCATCATCACTAATCTCTGCATGGCCTTCTCTCTTCTTGTCTTGTGTGTCTGTGTCTATCTTTTTCTCCTTAT